ACACTGAACAATACAAACCGCTACCTATGGCCTGCCAATAATAACAATAGGACAGAAGAAATAAATACAGTTCGATGGACAATAAAATTGATCACGCGATGATGTGGAGAAACACTGTACAGTAAAGGGTACTTCAAGCTTTGGGTTTTTGGACCGTTCTTATTGCAAATACCATAGAGTTGAGTTTGAATTTTAAGTGTCTAGATCGAATTAATTATATTGTACTTACTCGTGTTACGTGTTCTAATAACTAAAGACTTCTGCGTCCTCTACAACTTCACAGATTACGCTAGAAAGTGTAAAGTCCCTTATTCAGGAGGCGTCAGACGATTTATTGGCAAAATTGGAGGGGAAAATAACGAAGATAGTGGATACTAAGACCAAAGAAATCTTTAAGGAAATAAACGAGCTGAAGGTTTCCTTAAATTACCTAAATGAAGAACATGAAGACTTAAAAAAGGAACTAAAACAAAAATGTAATGTGGTTAAAGAGCTCGAAGATGAAAACATGCAAATAAAGATGAGATTGACTGATATAAACAGCCGCTTAAATGTCATGGAGCAGTACTCGAGAACGAGCAATGTGGAGATACAATGCATTCCTGAATATAAAACTGAAAACTTGGAAAAAATTGTGGGTCAGATAAGTAAAGTCACCGGAAGTGAAATACAAGGCAGTGATATATACAAATGTACCAGAATAGCCAAGTTAAATTCTGATAGTAAGCGGCCACGTTCAGTAGTTGTTAAATTTTCTAGTCCACGTATTAGAGACACGTTTATGGCAGGCGTTATAAAGTTTAACAAAAATCATGCAAGCGATAAATTGAGTACAAGCCACATCGGAATTGGAGGCGAGAAAAGAGCCGTATATGTCGTTGATCATCTAACACCTGAAATGAAGAAATTGCATGCTGCTGCCAGAATTACAGGCAAGAGGCTGGGTTATCAGTTTGTTTGGGTTAAGAATGGACGTGTGTTTATGCGGAAATCTGATACCACTGAACATGTCATAGTTAAGAGTGCAGCTCAGCTAGAGTTGCTTAAGTAAATTACTGTATAGGTTGCTTCTAGTCTCTAATTTTTTTAAGTTTGTTAAAATGTATTGCTTAAGTATATACTATCAAAATGTCAGGGGTCTTCGGAGTAAAACGATTGATGTTAAGTTAAATATAGTTAATAACAATTTTGATGTAATTGTGTTTACTGAAAGCTGGCTCAACGACAGTGTGTTTGATGGAGAAATTTTCGATGATAGGTATGTAGTGTATAGAAGAGATAGAGCGAAGAAAGGTGACAACTATGGGAATGGAGGTGGAATAGCAATAGCAGTCAAATCTAGTATATCATCATGCCGTAAACTTGAATGGGAGAGTGAGTGCGAGGACTTATGGGTGGAATTGGACGTTGATTCCTGTGGTAAATCTGATCTTGTGGCGATATGTGCAGTATATCTGCCACCGCCCATTAGGATGGAAAAAGTTAACTATTTTACTGCCCACATGAGCAATATATTGAACGTAGTGCAAAATGTTGTCTTGGTGGGTGATTTTAACTTGGGAGGTATAAAATGGACGGATATTCCTGACGCGACACATCTTTATCCTACTGGCAGTTGTAGTCTGCAGACGCATTTTATAGACTTTACAGAAGAAAATTCTTTAAAACAATACAACTCTGTAGTTAATGCTAATGGTAGATTGTTGGACCTGATGTTTTCAAACTTCATCGACCTTGAAGTATCAGAAAACATTCACCCAATCAGTGTTGTAGATAGCCATCATCCCCCGCTTAATATAATAGTCCAAGTAAAGAAAAAGAAAATACTCAATGATAAGATTTCTCAGAGGTACAACTTTCATAAGGCAGATTATGACAATATAATAGAAGATTTAAACGCTATTATATGGAATGAACTTTTTTCACTTTGTTCTAATGTCAACCAAATGGTCGACCTTTTTTATGAAAAACTTAATGTAATTATAGAAAAACATGTTCAGAAATCTAGATTAATTAATAAGAGGTATCCTGTTTGGTTTAATAAGAAATTAATATCAATCTTAAAGAAAAAAAATAAACTTAGGAAAAAAATTAAAAAATATGACAATTCACTTGATAGGATGAGTTTTGAATCATTGCGTAAGGATTCGGATAATTTAATAAAAAAATGTTATTTTGAATACATTGCGTCCGTGGAGGCTAACATAGCTAAAAATTCAAAATTCTTTTGGACCCACTTAAAAAATACGAAGAAAACGGTAAATGCATATCCATCCAGAATGTGGCTGGATGATAGAATGGCTTCAGAGGGAGCTGATATAAGCGGACTATTTGCGGATTTTTTTGCATCAGTCTATGATATGAATGTTTGCAGCAGTGGTTCTGCTTCGGATGGGATTGAGTCTACCAATACACTTTGTTGCTTAACTTTTTCTAGATTGGAAGTTCTTAAGAAGTTGAAACGACTTGACATACATAAAGGTGCAGGACCTGACAATCTGTCTCCGTTATTCATAGCTCGATGTGCAATACCGCTATCGTTACCTTTGTGTATGTTGTACAATCAATCTTTGCAGACTGGTGTGTTCCCGGAAGTATGGAAGCAAGCTAGGATAGTCCCTGTGCACAAAAAAGGGAGCAAAGACGATGTGAAGAATTATCGACCGATTTCAATCCTTTCAACAGTGTCTAAAGTATTTGAGTCGCTGTTGCATCCGTTTCTCTTGCGTCATGTAAGTCAATATCTTACTGAGAATCAACATGGGTTCGTACGTTCACGGTCAACTGCTACTAACCTGGCTGAATTTGTGACTCACTTGTCAGATTCAGTGGATTGTCGTGCACAGGTTGATGTAATATATACCGATTTTTCTAAGGCCTTCGATAGGGTGAATCACAAACTACTACTGGTCAAGTTATCGTCTTTCTATGGCCTGGGTGGTCCATTGTTGGCCCTCTTAGCGTCATACCTATATTCTAGACAGTCGTATGTGGTAGTTAAAGGTTACGTCTCTAAACCTTTTCAGGCGACGTCGGGAGTTCCTCAGGGGTCCATTTTAGGGCCACTTTTATTTAATTTATTTTTAAACGATGTTCAAGATTGTTTTTTAAACACTAAATGTTTCATGTTTGCTGATGACTTAAAGTTTCTTCGCAATGTTCGTAATGACCAGGATGTTAATGCTTTGCAAGAAGATGTAGATAGGTTGGTTCTTTGGTGTTCCATAAATGGAATGGTCATAAATACGGACAAATGCTGCCACATCAAATTTACTCGTAAACGTAACATTGTTAATTCTAGTTATAATGTCAACAACATATCACTACATGAAACAAAATCGATATGTGACCTAGGTGTTACCTTTGACTCAGAGCTCCGTTTTGATCATCATATTGACAAAGTGTGTAGGTCTGCATGTAGGATGCTGGGTTTTCTGCATCGCAATTGTAAAATATTTAAGAATCAGACTACAAAAAAACTATTGTTTTACGCCCTGGTCAGGAGTAGACTTGAGTATTGCTCAGTGATTTGGAGCCCTAATTATCAAGTGTATAAAGATCGTTTGGAAGCTATCCAGAGACGTTTCACTCGCTTTTGCTTATACGGCAACACCAGTAGCAAATTGTATATAGATCGGCTAAAGAGTCTAGACATGGTATCATTGGTGGATAGGCGGAGAATACACGATGTTATGTTTTTATACAAGGTCTTGAAAGGTACTCTGGACGTTCCAAGGTTGCTGAGCAGTTTTAATTTTAACGTACCCTCGCGTCTACCTCGTCATCCGGTGCCTTTGCTAAGGCACAAGACGTACCGTACCAATTTGGGACACCATGCACTTATTCCGAGATTGTGTCGGCTGATTAATGAGTTGGTAAAAAAAGATTTCACAATAGATATTTTTCACGACATTATTGATGTTTTTAAAATCAAAATCACTAATGCTTTAAGCCAGTAGTTTAATTTCATTTCGTTTGTAATTTGATTAGGGAATATTGTATTATTTTTAACTTAGGTACCTGTGAAATATTGTAAGTTAGAAGTTTATTAGTATAGGCATAGTATTTTTTTAAATAACAACTAATAGTGTTAAGTGCATGGTGAGGCCGTCTATAATTAGAGTTATATGTAACGTATTACTTAGCATTAGTTATTTTAAGCTTTCCTACATGTAAGTCTGTTGATGGTCCATAAATAAATAAATAAATAAATAAATAAATAATGCCGTTAGAAGGAAATTATACAATGATATAGCTTTGTTGACAGAATGTTTGCCGTGTTTACAACATGGCTGTGCTTGTTCCTCGACCTGCAACTCAGTTTTTTTTCGAATTCTGTGTTAATTAGATAATTGTTTTATTTCTTGCTTTAGCGTTGTTGGAGGCAATTATAAGACCCTATTACATGCTTCAGAAGGTTCACAAAATTCTCTCTTAAAGATGTGGTAAGACCTTAAGTTTTATTAGGCTAATGGTAAAGTCAGTCAATTACATCAATTATCTGACACCAAACAGGGTAATTGCCGGGGTTTAGATCTAGCGCGGTAGGAGATTGGTTTCTTTTCAATATGGCCTAAATACTCGCCATAAAGAAACCCGTGCCCAGGAGTGACTCATGTGGGTTGGTGATGGTAATATGATAGTATTGAAAACATCGAGTGTATAAAAAAATAGACGAAATATCATTTAATTTATTTGATAACTATTCTGCCAAATCATTACGGTGTCGTCAATTGTTTCACTTCAAATCGACCAGTTTAACTTGAGCTTTGCTTTTCCCACATCACCGAATGGAACAGCCGCCCATTGGTAGATATATTATCTTTATTACAATAAATACAGAATATTTTCGGCGATGTACACAAACGTGTGTAGGTGTACTATTTCAGCTTTCTTATTTGTGATTTCAGCACAAACGAGAGTTGATATTTAAAAGTGGTATAAGACCCATTTGCCTGATGAGTTGCGAAGGATAGATAGCTCTTAATTCGTCTCACTACAGTGCATTCAGGAAAACCCTTCGTTGCGCCACCGGCAGGCAGGTCTATTGTGTGACCAGCTCTGTGGCGCAAAAAGGCGGCTATAAATGAAATGTTGAAGGCGGTTCCAATACCACATGGTCGCAGTGGCGAGATGAAGCGACTCGTTTTGTTGGTAAGGACTTTTATTTTTATCTTTTTATTTTCATTAAGAAATTAATTTGCAATAATGATGTGCAATTCAGTGTAAGCTAGCTCGTTTACTTTAGTTGGAGCCCTTGTAATGGACACAGATATCTGAAGGTGATATTAGATCGTAGACAACCTGGACCAATACGGTCTAGAAACTTCTGTCACAAGCTGGTCTCGAAATTGGTGTCACCGTTTCTTACTAAATTTTATGTATAGAGAGTTGTTGCTTTATATAAACTCACGCCCTTGTCCCACAGGAGGAGTAGGTAGAGACTACGGAGCGCCACCTTACTGTAATCCTGACACAACTTTCTAGTCTCACTTACATCAACTACCCTTTTCATACAACTTCTTTTATTGTTGTCACTCCGGATTCCGGCCTTTTTGAGGATATCATCACTGATCTGGTCTCTCAAACGTTTAAATTATTTGTTACTTTAATTATCTAAGACTAGGTTTTTATTTCCCAGATATTAGCTCTCGTCGTGGTGCTAGCCTCAGCGCGGCCGGGCATCCACATCCACACATCACCATTGGTCCACGAGTACCACGCCGTACATTCCCCGTACGTGTACCATGAACCAATAGCGCATCATGCCCCAATAGTGCAACATGCGCCAGTAGTGTATCATGCCCCAATAGTACATAGCTCCGCAATTCATACCGTGCCAGTTCATCCGCCTGTGGTGAAATATAAAGTTAAGACTCACTACCATGTCTATGGAAAATAAATCTGAATAGTATTTTTGATGGATTTTTATTTACTTACCTGCCACTGGATTGATTTTTATTTTGTATAATTGTAAGCGACGGCACGAACAAGTCGTGCACCTGGTGGTAAGTGACACGTCTATATATAACAGTTGCAGTGCTAATAGAGCTTGTAATCGCAAAGAATTTAGGGGCACTGCCACCATGTCCGTCACTTTGAAACAAAAGTTGACAAGTCTCATGTGCCTGTAATTTTACCAGCACCCTTCGTTACTGCTTGGCGGCTGAAATAGGAAAGGTAGCAGTACCTGTTTCTCCGGACGAACTCTTTCACAAGGAGCTCTACTGCTAGTAAATAAATAAAACTTATTACATCTTACTGTAAAACAAAATTCGTTATAAGTTTAGTGTCTATTGCTTGTTGATCCAAATAAAATATAAAAAAGTCTGTGTAATGTCTCCATAAAGCAAAATATTGTATCCACAATATTTAAAGTACTTTCTACAACATCAGGGATATGCAATTACGCGTAACTAGCATTTGATTATGAGGATCCATTTCGGCAATTTAGTCGTCAAATTCGCGTAAATGTTGATGATTTACGGGAATCTATTGTTATCAGTTCATAGACAACATAAATTAATGCTTACTGTGCAAAACTGAAAGACGTAGCCTTTAAAATAACAAAGTAATAACGTTAAATCCCTCTCCTGTAAAATATGGTTTGGTGCAGTTACGCGCTTTTTGCCTTTACTACAATCGCGGGTTTGTATTATCCCCGGCGATAATACGTGTCTCATAATCGTGGGGCACCCTTTAGGTATAAAACTTAAATTAAAAATTCACCGCTACATTTTATGTTTCAGACTCCTACAGAGAAATAAGCTAATGACTTGTCAACAACTGAGCAGATGCTCGTTACACATAACAAAGAACCATCCCGATAAAACCAGGTTTCAAATTAAAAAAAAACTTCTTTGAGATCACTTCACTCGTTTGGGAGCTGCATGCCACAGGCTATATAAATAACTCTCCTCTTTGCGTCTGTGGTTTGTAAAAAAGATAGACAGAAAATTCGCTAATGAAAGCCGATCAAAATCTTACGTCAGAATGTCAAATACCTGGAGAACACTTAGTACAAAAAGTTGGAGCTGAACAAAATAGCTCCACGGTTTCAGGTTTATATATTATTAATTTCTTGATCAAAGCTTTTTCATTAAAGTTTATGTTAATTTGACGATCTCAGTGCTCCAATGGTTTGTACTTACGGAAGAAAAACAATGAAAGTGCTTTAAGAATTGATACTACCTCAGGTCAAATTTTTCCATACTAATACGGTTCATTTTGCTTGGTCGTGCGATAGGAACACGGCTTTATTTCAGAATTTATTTTGTTACAAACGAAATAAAGGCCATTTGACAAATGTATATCGTATACTATACGTGTTATATATAGTCCAGTTGATTGGTATATGTGAAGTACCTATTGAATAGAGCGGTTTTCTTGTATAATTTCGAGGTAAGTAATTTTTGTATCATGAATATTTTGAGGATCGTGTTTTCACTCTGTATAGTAATCAGCGTATGTCCTCAAGTCCATTATACACTTTCAATATTATGCGGAATCCTATAATAACCTAAGCCATTTGAGGTTGTATAGACTCTTAAGTCTCGATTACTAGCAGAACCGCTGTCGCCAAAACTCTCACTATCATAATATTAAACACTACGAAATCTTGATGTAACAAATTAAATAAAAAGATGTAACAAATTCTGTACTGTCATAAATATAATTTAAACGTTGCCCAGTGTGTATATCGTTGGAAGTCACTTATTATCGCAAGTTACATCGTTTTGATTTTGTATTGAAATAATATTATATGTGCTTCCATGTAGCGGTAATAGCTGGAAGACTATGAGACGATAAACTTTGTTCTGTGGGCGAACTTTGAAAATATTGATAAAAAATCAACTTTATTACATTGTTAATCAGGTGTACTGCCCTTTCAATTATTTATAGATAACTTTCAGATATTGAGTGTTTATATTGAGTGTGTGCGTTATTATATTTTTTTTTATTATATTGACCTCGACGATGTTCCAGTGATTGCTTAGTAAGTAGTTAGCATTATGAACGCTTGAACAGGATATTCTGAGTTTGATTCCCGTTAGCTTTTCTAAAGTGGTTCTTGTTTGGATAGTGCCCGGCACTATGATTACAAATTATAAATTAAACATAGACAAACTGTAGCATGATGATAAATGTCCCATTGTTGCGCACGGGTCTCCTCTTGGGAAAGCGTTTAGGTCGGGTAGCGCACAGGGAATTATTTAATTTGAGATTATATGTGGTTGTTTGACACATTATTGTTATTATTTTATGAAGTTCAATTGAGAAAATTAAAATTGTAGAAGCCTTGTTAATAATTTTCGGAGAATTATCTGATGATGAATACCAGTCAAACATCTGTGCCTCATTGCAGTGAATTAAGGCGCGAGAAAGATTTATTAACCAATTTACTGACTTTATATTACCTTTGAGTAAGTATTAAAAAAACTCAATCGCGCTCTTAAAGTAATTTACTCACAGGGGCTCGGAGCGAGATAAGTTGAAAGAAATTAACTTACTCACACCGACGCTCGACTACATTTATAGAATTGTAATTTATATTAAGCAGAACAGAAATTTTCAATGAAAACAAAATTATCTGTTCTTTACGTAAATTATATTATAAGATTTTGCTCATATTGTATTTTATTTTAATAACAGTAGAGTTCGTTGTAAAAGAGCTTTACTCTACAATCCCCGATAAGTGGTTTTTTTAAATCTTATTTAGTTTCAGTTTCATGTTAAGGCGAGTCAACTGTTTAGCTAGATCAAACGGCTCAGGTATTTACTATTAAATAAAAGCCTTACAAAAAATATATGATACACCAAAGTATATTGTCTAAGAATGTGCTAATTTATTACACAATAGGATGTACTTTATCTGATCACATAAAATCCTGAAAAGACGCTAAAAAACGTCTAATACGAATAATTCAAGAATAAAATATCTAACTGTGCATTTTTCGTTAAGTGTTACAGAGAACCTGCTAAATTTTCGCTTTCAACTGAAGCTCTATTAGTTGTTAAATTTACATTTATACAAAAATTTGCAAATAGGAAGCGAGGTGTGTGAAATATCTCGCCCTAAGCAAAATCTGCGTAACTTTAGTTGCCAATATTCTTCAGTTACGTTTCGGTAACAAATGCGTTGGACTGCTCAGTTTTGAAGGGTTCCGGTTTTACTAATGAAGCTACAGTCACATGGGACTTCTTTATTTCCATTCCAGGTTGACGGGCGCAGTGGTAGTCTCCGTTAGGCCTTCGCGGTTTGAAACTATAATTGTACAAATACTTTACAAAGAGCTTGCTCTAAAGTTTCTTGCTCATTCTACTCAGGGGAATCTGTCTTACGAATGACTAGTAAGTTTATAGCGCGGTGGTAGCCTACTGAGAGAACAGTTGATATTCATTTTAGTTTTAGTTGACATTAATTTCTAAGATACGTATATCTTTACCATTCGAAAACGGTGAAGAAAAACATGACGAATTTTAGAAAATGGCTAAAGCTCCCTGTCTCATTAAATAGCAGTAGAGCTCCATGTGTACGAGTTCGTCCAGGGAAGTACTGCCACCTTATCTATTTCTGCCGCCAAGCGGTAATGCGAGCAGTACTGCGTTTCAGTTTAAAGGGTAAGAGTGCTGGTGATTTTACAGCTACATGGGACTTAAATCTCAGGGTGAAGGCCCAATGGCGGTGGCCTTCAGACCTTTGCGATTTGGAACTCTGAGTAGCACTGAAACTGTTATGGACAGGTGTGTAGCTTACCACCAGGGGTACGTCTTGTTCGTCCTGTCATTTGATATCATAAAAACAAAAACCTCCCGCTCCATAAAAAACACCCTTTCCTAGCAGTGGCACGTGGCAGTGGTCGTTACGACGACGATGCTTTTAAGTGTATTTGAATATGAAGTTTTCAGGTTTTGCGATTGTGACACATTAGAAATAAAACTATTTTTTCGTATCCAAATCACATATATTAATATTTGTTTGGTCACAGCTGATCAAGGGACCCGTAAAGAACCTCAAACTATTTTTGTGTCAAAAAACAAATGCATGCGGTTTAAATCCAAAAATATTATATCATTGCCAATTGATATCGTACGCAAACAAAAATATCAATAAATAAATTTTAGTAACAAGTCGTCTAAGATATTTCGAGTGTTAATGGATTATGCGCCGGGCACTGGTGTGGGACGCTATGTGTGTCCCATTCTATCTCCAGCACACTAGCAAGAAAGTTGGCTCCGCAGATGAGTTGGCGGAAATAATAAAAAGCAATAAGTACCAGGACTTCGGCGCCGACTATCTATTTACAGCATTTGGAGTAGAAACTCCTGGCCCGTTTCCCGGTGTCCTTAATTTGTATAAAATTTCATCCAAAAACTTAATAGACTGTCTGGGTGACTATGGTCACGTATGCGCGACGCCATACGCGAGCGCTCTAGTGGATAAGTGTACGCAAAATCACTAAGCGACCTCTACATCCATTCATTTTTATTTCTAGTCTGTAGACTCGGGGTCCTAAACCCAGATGAACTTGCCCAACGCAGTAGCATAGCAAAGTGTGAACGCACCTTTTGGGCACCCTGCCTCGGGGACCCAATTTTATTCATGTAATTTGATTATAGTTTTAGTTTCAAAGTATTGAAACTTTTATTGTACCTTACCTGTATATTTTAACATGGTGTTAGTTCATTCTTAAACACAATTTCACTGTAAGTTTGCAATATAGCTGGTTCAGATATTTCATTTTCGTTCCGATGCATTTCAATGTTTGCACCTTTGGTCTTCTCGCCGCCTGCGGCTCGTGTGCATCGGCGCAGACGCGCTCAATGACGTGGAAACAGCGATAGCCTTATATAGAAACACACGTGGAAATCGTACAAAAGATAATTCTAGAAATTCTTTTGTATCGTGCGGTAGGGCAATTCACAGTCTGGGCCCCAATCTGTTATTTATGTTAAGAAAAATTGTAATTTTTTAAATTAAATATATTGATACACACAACATTAACACGAGGAATAAAAATAAACTATCATTTCTTGAAAG